TTGGCAGTTTTTATGCGGGTGTTGCGGGGGTGTGCTGGTGAGACGGGGTGTCGACCACGCACCACAGGGGTGGTTGCAGACGTTGTGGCAAGAGAGGGGTAGTTGCACACAACTGTGCTGCAAAAGGTGTTGTGCGTGCGTGCGTGCGGCCGTGTGTGTGTGTGTGTGTATGTGTGTGTGTGTGTGTGTGTGTGTGTGTGTGTGTGTGTGTGTGCGCGCGCGCGCTTGCGTGCGTGCGTATCACACCACCTGACGGCCTGGTCGGCACGACGCAACCCCCTTGTGTGAAACCCACCTCGCTAATACGCACAATCAAACACGCGAAGCGTTGTCACACGGCAAAAGGGTCAAAAGGATCAAAGGAGTCACAATCGGCAACGAAGATCAAAGATGTTTGCAAATGCTCACCTCATCACACACACATACACACACACACACACACACTCTCGCTCACGTGCGCACACGTGCACCCACCTGCAGGGGCCGGGGAATCAGCTTGAAACGCCGCTTGCTGCCAAGGCGCCACTTGCCGCTGGGGTTGGCCCCCCAAGGATTCACGCGCAGCCTGCGGCTGACGCGCCTGCCACGGACGGGGTGCGCGTGTGCACACGCGGTCGGGAACGATCTAGTGGATGCGGGCGAGGGCAGGGAGTTTTGCAGGAGGGGAGAGCGAGGATTTCTCCTTTGCACAGGCCTTTCTCGGCAATGCCAGAAAAGTCTTGTGAGCTCATGCCATATTACGGGTTTTGATGCGATGCATTAGATTGGGGCGCGGGCCAGGGGCGCAGGCAGAAAGACCACCGAGGGTGGGGAATGCTGGAGCCGCTCGTTGCGGGCAGTGGCCGCCGGCGCGACGCGGAAAGTCCGCCTTGCTGGTTGTCTGGCCGTGCCGTCCCCAACAGGGAGAGCACCGCCCAGGCGCGAAGAAAAGGAAGCCGACGAAAGCACATGCAGCAAACGGCATCCCCTTCAGCGCATTCTGCTGCACCCTAATCCAAATGAAGCCCCAGTAAGGTGTCCCTGGACAGCTGGGGGCCCTGCTGCCGTGGTCCGTGACGGCGCATGCACATGGAGCCGCCCACACCTCCGGGGGGCTGCTGCCTACCAATGATGAAGCCGTCCTCGTCAGCGTCGACCTCATTGGACGTGTCGACGTCGCCGCTGCCGGTGCAGTCGATGACGTCGATGATCTGAGTGTGTGTGTGTGTTTGTGTGTGTGTGTGTGGGGGGGCGCATGTGTGCGCGCGAAAGTGTGTGCGTGTGTTCAAGGAGACGCGAATGTGTATGTGGGCGCGTGTGTAGTTGGTGTCTCTGAGTGCGCATGCGTGTGACGTCAGTGCATGTGTGTGCTCGAGCGTGCGTATGGTCAGGGAAAGCGGGGTGCTAGTGTGTGTGCGCAAGAGCCCGCGCGTGTGCATTCCAGCCGTCGGCTGCGCCGCCTTCAACGCACACGGCGGCGCTGCGCTGCAGCCCCGCGCGCCCACCTTTGGCTTGCCCTCGCTGGTGACCTGCAGGCCCGGCGCCCCCGGGTCCACACCTGAGGAGGGGCGCACAAACTCAAAAAACTCGCACACACGACATTGACGAGGCAGATGGCGGCGTCACGCCTCGTCGCCCTGCGGCGCGCGGCCCCAGCGGCGGCAGGAGAATAGGGGCGGGGCGGCTGCGTGGGCGGCGGCGCCGCGGGGGCTGACTTTGCTCGGCACCGCAGGTTGGGGCAGGCTGCTACTTGGCTGGCTGGCCTGCATGCTTGGGGGACTATCACCGGCGGGATCGAAGCTGACGAATTGCTACCAACAAGCAGTTGCCCGTGGGGGATTATCGCTCGGTTGGCCGATCCAGGTTGTAATCACCCATGTCAAAGATGGCTACGATGACACCACGGCCCTCGAAAGAGGGATTGTCCTGCATGAACCTGCCGGGAAGCCGCACGACGGAGGCCGGGGACGTGTTAAGCCGGTCGGCGCGGGCAGCGGACAGACGCCGCCGCTCGACCAGCGCAGGCGGGGCCGGCGCGCGCGCGTCTCATAGCGCCGCCGCACGGGACGGGGGCAGCAGGGCGCGGTTGGCACACGGCGCACTGCGGCCGCCCTCCAGTGCGAAAGCGAAATCGATGGCGGCTGATGGGAGGGAGGGTGCTGGCACAAGGCGCCAGTCAACGGCCCTAGGGGCTTGCACTGATCCCTGCTGTTCTGCAGCCTACCTGAGGGCACCTATCTCCTCTTCAGGCATGGCGCCCGCAAACAGCCCCGACGACACGGCTCCCGCCGGCCCGCCGGCCGCCGGCATGCTGCCCCGAGGCGCCCCCGCCCCCGCTGCGCCGGCTGGCGTGCCGCTGCTTCGCAAGGCCCCGCCGCCGTGCCCCACCCCGCGGTGCCGACGGTAAGGCGCCGAGGCTGAGACGGCTCGTGGAGTGAAGAAGGAAGGCTGATGGTGGCCACGTGCTAAGGTGACGGTTCGTGGAATGAGAGAAGAACGGGCTGGGCCGGGGCCCGGTCCCGCTGTGTGTGCTGAGGCCGTTGTGGCAGGAGCGAGCGGGGAGCTGGCGTTTGCCTTGCCGAGTGCACGCCGCACCCACTGACGGTGAGCGGGGTGGCAAGCACAGCGTAAGCGCTTCGTGAAGCTGAACATGCAACCAACAGCGCTGATCGGCACCACCAGACACGCGGTGATCTGCCTCGCATCGCAACTTCGCAGAGTTTCAAGGTCTTGCAGCGTCAATCTGAGTTGTACCGTACATAGACAAAATTCCGCCGTAGCATGCATGTTTAAATGCAGGGCGCTCGAGGCGTGGTCACCTAGCGACAGCACTCGTGTTGTTGTGTTGTGGCCTCACCCACTGCGGCGCTCCGGTGACGGCGGTGAATTACATTGGCAGGCCGGCACCCCAGCTCATCGTATATGTCGCGCCCATGGCATATGCACACCAATGTGATGTGTATGTGGTGACGTTGCAGTTGCTGACGTGCGCAGGGGCGACCTGAACAACGCACCCAGCCAGCAGAGGCGGGTGCGCTGCCGCCAGGGCCTCGCAGAACAGATCCAAACCTCCTGCACGCCAATCCAGACCTGCGGACTCTTGCCTGTGCCGAGCATGTGCACGGCTGCACCTCGCGCCTTGCCGTTGCTGACCGTGCACTCCACAGCACGCCGGCACACATCACGGGCACCGCACCACAAGGAACCAGGCGCCCGGCCAAGGGTGTTGCCTCGGATACTAGCGGTTGAGGCAGCGGGACGGGTCAAGAAATGAGCGTTGCAATGTGAGAGCATCCGCCTTGCTAAAGCAGCATGTTTCAATTGTGAGAATACAGTAAGCAGGACACTACTTGACAGCTCAGGGACAAGAAGCTGCCGCGCGGCCTCTCGCGCCCCCTCCTCCGTCCTCCCC